GAATTTGAGCATATACACAGGCCGCTTGTCCACAAACCAACCTCGGGTCCTCCAAGGGACATCATTGTTAAATTCCTCTACTTTTGCACCAGAAAAGTCATTAAGCAAGCCCAAAGGCACAAGCCCACTTTATCCTTCCTGGGCTTTGCAGATGTGACCCCCTCTACCATAACTAAGCATGATTAGATGAAGCCAGCTTTGCAAATTCTGTAATGCCATCACATTCCTTACCAATGGGGCTTTCCTTTCAAGCTCAGTTTCACATTCCAGAACTGAACATATCTGGACACTGATCTTGGAGAGGTTCAACACCATATAGACAGCCTCCACCTACTCTGCTCCCCAGCTTGGTTGTCACTAAGAGTGCCCAGTGCAAGCGGTGACTCTCCTTGTCCACCAGGAACCCCAGTATCCTCACCTGCAACTGATCAACCACCCCTGGATGACCCTGATCCCCATCCGGATCAACGCTCCAATCCTAATGGCTGACTGAGTGAGTCAACATTCCTCTTCGCCGTGTAGGCTTTTGGGCTCAGATAAGTACTTCTCCGTGACATATGCTTTACTGTAGGCAAGACAGACTTGTCTTTGTAATCCTCACCTGGTTGCCACCACATACGCTTGACGCCATCTAAACCAAATCAGTTTATCTTGTTCTCATCAGACCACAGGACATGGTTCCAGTTAGCCATGTCCTTAGTCTGCCAAAGGTGCCATAATCATCCTTTAGTGGGTCACTTTGGTATCCACAAGACCTCAAATTTGGTTTCCCGTTCCTTCTGGTGGCCAAATTTAATGAAGGATTGTAAAGACTATGTTAGATCTTGCTCTGTATGCCTCCAAAACAAGTCTGATAGAGCCAAACCCTGGGGCCTTCTGACACTGGGGGGGACTGACTTGGTGTCAATGACACCCCCAGTGACACCAATACATTGATCAGTACTAATAAAAAGCACCGACACTGTACTAATGGCACTGGGCAGGAAGGGGTTAACATGTGGGGCAATCAAAGGGTTTACTGTGTGATGGGAGTGTTTTACTAGGGGGCGGTGTATTGGTGCTTCACTGCATACTGTAGAGCCATACAAAGCAGTGTGCAGGAGCTGACAGGGGAGAGATCTGTGTTTACACACAGGTCTCGCCCCCCGTTGGAGATACTCGGCGATCACTGGGTGAGAAATCATCAGCTGGGACGCGCTGATTGACAGCCAAGGCCGCATATGTTTGCACAGGTAGGCCCTACCCAGAACTGCAAAATCACGCTTGTGTGTATATATATATATATATATATATAAATATATATATATATGTATATGTATATATATGTATGTATATGTATATACATATACATACATATACATATACATATGTATATGTATATACATACATACACATATATATGATATGATATGTATATATGATTTTGCACACCCCGTGCTGCCCTGTAGCAGTATTTGTGCTATAGGGTGGTACGTAAGCAGTTAATACAGAAGTGCTGTCAAATCTGGATATTGCAGGATTTGCTCACACACCCTCTCCCCTCATTTTCTGCCACTGAGACAATAGCAGTCTAGGAAGGAGGTGGCCAAGGTGGCTAAGGGTGTAAAATGGCAGTAGGGGGACGTGCAACCCTGCAGCTCTTAGCTGATGGTGTTCCTGTATTATCAACCCGACAGCTGTGTTTGCACAAATGCAAAAGTGCTGCAGTGGAAGGAGAGGAGGAGCTGATGGGGAGAGAGCACAGCCTGCACCTTCTCCTGGCTTTCTGATGTCACTACTCCTGGCAGGCTGTCGCAAAGGGAACATACCATGCACCAGCCCACACTAAACCACTGCACCCAGGGCAACTTTCCCTCCTGTCCCCCGCCTTGTCCCTGCCCTGGTATCAACCTTCTAACTGCTAGACAGCTTGGCCTGTTAAATGAAGTTTAAAAAGTAGACTTACTAGGCAGATCAGCAGGTGAAAATAAAGAAATCAAATAACCCAGTGACACCAATACCCAGCCCCCCCCCATCTAGGAGTTGACAGGCTGCAATATAATGGGTTTTATTGTTACCACTTTAGGATAATGAATCGAGACCCAGTGAGCTCTTTTTTTTAGATGTTCAGCCATATATTACACAAAAATAAAAGGATCCAAGTCCATCTTTGCCATGAAGTGATTATACTTTTATTTTTTGACAGGAAAATCAAAGACGATATATGAGACATATAAAGGATTTACACAAATACCCTCATCTTTGGAGGGGGGGGGGGTATTTTCATTCACTTCCTGCTTGGTTGATATATACAGAGTAAACAGAAAGTGAGAGTCAATTTCCCTTTCCAGGACATATAGGGGTTCGACAAAAAATGGAAACACTGTATGATTTGCAGGTATGAAAGTGATGACACGTTTTGCATTGAAAGCGGAAAATATATAAAACATTATATTGCTTCCGCTGTGTGATGAGACACCCAGCTAACAGTTGGGAATCCTCACTTTCCTCATTAACTGCGTACGTTGCTGGTAATAAGGAGTCAAGTCAGAGCTTACTGAGCTTCAAAGAGGGCAAATTGTTGGTGCCGCTTAGCTGGTGACTGAAATTTCGAAATTATTTACCATGTCTCGAGGTGCCGTATCAAAGGTTATGACGGCATATCCAGTTTCCGGGAAAACGGCATCCGATATGCATAAGCACGGTCAACATGGTCAACTGACCGAAAGAGACAAAAAGGACATTGCGCAGGATTGTAACCTGGAATAAGAAAACAACTGCTGCAAAAGTGACTGCAGAGCTCAATCTCAGTCCCATGAAGAATGATTCCCATGAAGACTGAGTCCCGTGAAGACTGAGTCCCGTGAAGACTGAGATTGAGCTCTGCAGTCACATTTACAGCAGTTGTTTTCTTATTCCAGGTCACAATTCTGAGCAATGTCCTTTCGTCTCTGTCGGTCAGTTGACCATGTCGACCGCACGTATGCATATCGGACGCCGTTTTCCCGGAAACTGTATATGTCATCATAACCTTTGTTACGGCACCTCGTGACACGGCAAATAAATTGGCAACTTCAGTCACAGAGGCACCAGCTAAGCGACATCAACAATTTGCCCCCTTTGAAGCTCAGTAAGCTCTGACATGACTCCGTATTACTAGCAACGTATGCAGTGAATGAGGAAAGTGAGGCTTCCCACCTGTTAGCTAGGTGTCTCATCACACAGCGGAAGCAAAAGAATGAAATTGAAAAGAGGACACAAAAATGTGCCTACATTTATGGGATCGCGGCCATCCCGTCCCCTCTTCTCTATTGGTGACATCATAGTATAGGGTATATATTCGTAATTGCCTCTTTTAATATTCAGATTGAGGAATTTAAAATGAGCCAATCAGAGAAGCATGTAATTATAATAGCCAATTAAAAGATACGTAAAATTTCTGAATGTTTTTAAAGGGGTAAATAAAGCCTCACAGAGCAGAGCTCAGTAAGCTCTGACATGATTCCTAGCAGTCACACAGCAAATGAGGAAAGTGAGGCTTCCCACCTTTTAGCCAGGTGTCTCATCCCACAGCAGAAGCAAAAAAATGTTACATCACTTCCACTTTGAACAACAAACATGTCATCACTTTCACACCTGCAAATCATAGATTATTATTATTATACAGGATTTATATAGCGCCAAAAGTTTGCTCAGCGCTTTGCAATATAACGGGAGACAATACAGCAACAATACAGTTCAATACACAAGAGGGATAGGAGGGCCCTGATCCTTGGAGCTTACAATCTAGGATACACAGAATATAACTGTGTATATAGAATATCAACTGTGGGTGTAGGATTATAACTTTTATTTTTTTAATTGTTAAACTGGATGGACTTTTGTCTTTTTTCAGCCAGACTATGTAACTATTTAACTGGATACTAACATTTATAGGTAAAGTTGATCCAGGGAATATCCGATTGCCTCTCGGGGGATTAGGAAGGATTTTTTTCCCTGCAGGAGCAAATTGGATCATGCTTTGCTGGGGTTTTTTTTGCCTTCCTCTGGATCAATGGTGGGTAAAGAATCATAACTTTTTTTTTTTTTTTTTTTTTGATGGTTGAACTGGATGGACTTTTGTCTTTTTTTTCAGCCAGACTTACTATGTAACTATATAACTGGATACTAATATTTATAGGTAAAGTTGACCCAGGGAATATCTGATTGCCTCTCGGGGGATCTGGAAGGATATTTTTCCCTGCAGGAGCAAATTGGATCATGCTTTGCTGTGTTTTTTTTTGCCTTCCTCTGGATCAACTGTGGGTATAGGATTATAACTTTTTTTTAATGGTTGAACCGGATGGTCTTTTTTCAGCCAGACTAACTATGTAACTATGAAGCATTTCCATATTTTTTGTCTAACCCCTGTAGAAGCAGTATGTTTTTTTTTCTTTTTTTTCTTTATTATTGCTTTTGTCCTCAGAATGGAGATTTCGCCATTACTTCCTCTTTCCCGGTTGAAAAACACAAAATTAGAGGAAATCTCCCTAATAGGAACCTAGACAGCTGTAAGGGCCAGACAGAGGTTCTAGACCTTCCCCGCTGTTTGTAAAGCTAAAAAAAAAATTGGAATGAAGCTGAGCGTTCAGAGATGCGAGACACTTGGGCAAGGGCGGACTGACCATTCGGACACTCGTGCACTGCCCGAGGGCCTGGGGTCAGTAGGGGGCCCCATGAGATGCCCCTGGTACCTTTCATAGGCTTTTTTTTGGGAGTGGTTTGAGTGTGGGTGAGGACACAGGGGCCCCATGATCCCCTATTGTCCGGGGGCCCCATGAATTGTCAGTCCGCCCCTGCACTCGGGTGTCAAACTGGCGGCCCTCCAGCTGTTGGCAAGCTACAAGTCCCGTGAGGCATTGCAAGACTGACAATTACAAGCATGACTGCCAAAGGCAGTGGCATGATGGGACTTGCAGTTTCTCAACAGCTTGAGGGCCGCCAGTTTGAATTTTCTTCAGGTACCAGTAACTCCTGCTCATCTATTTAAGACAGTTGTCTTTGTTCTTCAGTTTGTTTTGCTCCTTTTCAAAGCATTTGAGGCATCCGCTGTTAGAGCAGCGGTACACATCCATCTTGCCATTAACTTGCGTCAATCCATCCCAAATGTCGTCTTTTCCTTTATCCCTGACATCTTTAACATATAATTTACTGTATACAAATGCTTTGTTAAATTTATTAAAGACAGAAAGTTTATTGATGATATTCCTGGCGTTGTCTGGGTTGGCGCACTTGCCCACACATGGGGAGTTAAGAGTGTAGAAGATGGCGCAGGCTGCGTTCTGATTAGTATTCACCAATTGCTGGATGGGGGAGATCCCGTTGCTAGATGTTGCGTCCAACAGACGATATTCAGAATGAATGTCATATCCCGTCTCCCTCTTGAATGTTGCCAAAACCAACTGACTTCCTTGGTAGATGTTCTCGTCTCTTTTTAAGGCTTCGGTAATTTGTTTGGCGTCTTCATTCTTCAAGATTTGGAGATTGTTGTTATTGGAAGATAGACTGTCACATTCGACTTGGGAGAAAAGAGCAACATAGGCATGTTGCTTTGCCCCAGCACTACATGTATTAAAAAAAAAATCAATCAATCAATCAATCAATCAATCAATCAATCAATAAAAAAAGAAAACATTTTATTTTAACCACTTGCCCGCAAAATGATTTACCCCCTCTCTTCCTGACCAGGCCATTTTTTGCGATACGGCGCTGCGTTACTTTTAACTGACAATTGCGCGGTCATGCAACGAACTCAAACTCAAAAAAGCCTATGAAAAAGGTACCAGGGGCATCTCATGGGGCATCTCATGGGGCCCCCTACTGACCCCGGGCAGTGCCCGAGTTTCCAAATGGTCAGTCCGCCCCTGTATTCTATAGGAAACCATGTTAAATTGTCATCATTGTACCGATTTTAACTTTAACCATTTACCCTCCTGAGGATTTCCCTCTCTTCCTGACCAGGCCATTTTTTGCGATAAGGCTCTGTGTTACTTTAACTGACAATTGCGCGGTCATGCAACGCTGCACTGAAATAAAAAATTTTTGTTGCTGGGCAGAATAAAAATGTAAAACGTGGCAAAAACGTGGCAAAAACTCACTACCATGCATTTCACAGATTTTCCATTGAAATCTATTGAAGCAAAAACTTTGCTTTTTGCTTTTTTAAAAAGTCCTGACCCTTTCCAAAACACAGCGGCCCAAAAAAGCATAGATGTGAATCAATCAATCAATAAAAAAAGAAAACATTTTATTTTAACCACTTGCCCGCAAAATGATTTAACCCCTCTCTTCCTGACCAGGCCATTTTTTGCGATACGGCGCTGCGTTACTTTAACTGACAATTGCGCGGTCATGCAACGCTGCACTGAAATAAAATTTTTTTGTTGCTGGGCAGAATAAAAATGTAAAACTCAGCAAAAACGTGGCAAAAACTTACTACCATGCATTTCACAGATTTTCCATTGAAATCTATTGAAGCAAAAACTTTGCTTTTTGCTTTTTAAAAAGTCCTGACCCTTTCCAAAAACACAGCGGCCCAAAAAAGCATAGATGTGAACGTGTTCTATCAGGGGCGGACTGACAACTCATGGGGCCCCCGGGCAATAGGGATCATGGGGCCCTGTGTTCTTGCCCAAACTCAAAAAAGCCTATGAAAAAAAGGTACCAGGGGCATCTCATAGGGCCCCCTACTGACCCCAGGCCCTCGGGCAGTACCCGAGTTTTCAAATGGTCAGTCCGCCCCTGTGTTCTATAGGAAACCATGTTAAATTGTCATCATTGTACCAATTTTATCTTTAACCATTTGCCCTCCTGAGGATTTCCCTCTCTTCCTGACCAGGCCATTTTTTGCGATACGGCTCTGCGTTACTTTAACTGACAATTACGCGGTCATGCAACGCTGCACCAAAATGAAATTTACGACTTTTTTCCCCACAAATAGAGCTTACTTTCGGTGGTATTGGATAGCCTGTGCGTTTTTCATTTTTTGCACTATAAACTAAAAAAGACCGACAATATTGAGAAAAAAAAAACCCAATATTTTTGGCTTTTTGCTATTAACCCCCTCGCCTACATGGCACTTATACCCCTATAGCAAGACTTCTCCAGGGCGTCACCCATCCTCTGGAACTCCCTACCCCAAACTATCAGACTATCACCTACTCTACTTACCTTTAGGCGATCACTGAAAACCTATCTCTTCAGGGAAGCCTATCCCACCCTCTGCTACTGGAATCCTCTACTCTTCCAACCACTCCATCCCCCACAGTTATTATCTATTGTACCATTCACCCAGCCCTCCTAGATTGTAAGCTCAGAGGAGCAGAGCCCTCCTATCCCTCTTGTATTGAACTGTATTGTTGCTGTATTGTCTCCCGTTATATTGTAAAGTGCTGAGCAAACCGTTGGCGCTATATAGATCCTGTATAATAATAATACCCCGATCCTGTCCAGGCCAATTTCCAGCTTTCAGCGCTGTCACACTTTGATTGACAAGTGCGCGGTCATGCAACACTGTCCCCATATGATATTTTTATCACTTTTTTGAGACAGATAGAGCTTTCTTTTGGTGGTATTAAATCACCTCTGGGTTTTATAATTTTTTGCATAGCAAACCAAAAACAACTGAAAATTTTGAAAAAAAAATGTTTTTTTCTTAGTTTTTGTTATAATATTTTGTAAATAAGTGATTTTTTCTCCTTTACTGATGTGCGCTAATGAGGCTGCACTGATGGGCACTGATAGGCTGCACTGATGGACACTGATAGATGGCACTGATGGGCACTGATTAGGAGGCACTGGTAGGTGGCACTGATTAGGAGGCACTGGTAGGTGGCACTGATGGGCATTCACAGGCATCACTGATGGGCACTGATTAGGAGGCACTGGTAGGTGGCACTGATGGGCATTCACAGGCATCACTGATGGGCACTGATTAGGAGGCACTGGTAGGTGGCACTGATGGGCATTCACAGGCATCACTGATGGGCACTGATTAGGAGGCACTGGTAGGTGGCACAGATGGGCATTCACAGGCATCACCGATGGGCACTGAAAGGCAACACTCATATATGCCGCTTCAACCTTGGCAGAATGACAGCACTAAATGCCTCAAACATCGCAGTCGCGCACTGGAGGGACTGTGGCGCAAAACCAGGTCCCCTCATGCATTCTCCCTCTACAAATCTCCCTTCCTCACTTACACCTCCTCCCTCCACGCCGCCAAGCAGGCCTACTTTGTTAACCTGATCAACACCCTCTCCTCCTGACCTCGCCGACTCTTCTTCACCTTCAACTCCCTGCTCTCCCCCCCCTCCTCCACTCAGTACCTCACTCACCGCCCACGAGATTGCCACCCATTTCCACAACAAGATTGACGCTATCCGTAAGAACATTGTCAACTCGCAATCTACCTCCCCACCTAGCCTCTCCACCCCCGTCACCCCCCCTCATCTCCCCCTCCTCTGCCCTCACAACCGCACTGCCCCCCCTCCTCTCCCAAGGCCCCGCCTACCGTAATCCCTCCTGCACTGCACTCCCTCAGCCCTGTCACCACTGAGGAAGTCGATAAGGTCCTCTCAGAAGCCCGCCTGACTACCTGCCCCCTGGACCCTATCCCCTCTCAACTCCTCCGGTCACCCCCTCTTCCCTCATCCGCTCCCTCACCCACATCTTCAATCTCTCCCTCTCTACTGGTGCATTCCCCTCCCCCCTAAAGCACGCGCATATCACCCCCATCCTCAAAAAGCCCTCCCTGGATCCCGCGGACCCCAACAACCTCAGACCCATCTCCCTGCTGCCACTCACCTCCAAGCTCCTTGAGCGCATAGTCTACGATCGCCTAAGTGCCCACCTTACTGACAATAACCTCCTTGACCCACTACAGTCCGGCTTCCATCCCCTACACTCCACTGAAACTGCCCTCCTCAAAATCACTAACGACCTACTAAACGCCAAAGCCAAGGGCGACTACTCTGTCCTCCTTCTCCTGGACCTCTCTGTGGCCTTCGACACAGTTGACCACCCCCCTCCTCCTTAACAAACTACTCTCCCTTGGCATCAGAGACACCGCTCTCTCCTGGTTCTCATCTTACCTATCCCGACGCTCCTTCAGCGTCACCTACAATGATGCCACCTCCCCCTACCCCTCTCTGTTGGGGTCCCCCAAGACTCTGTCCTTGGACCCCTTCTTTTCTCCATCTACACACCTCCTCCCTGGGCAAACTCATACACTCCCACGGCTTCAACTATCACCTCTACTCCGATGACACTCAAATTTACAGCTCCACCCCTCTCCTCACCCCCACTATCTCCGCCCGCATCACTCACCTCCTAAACGACATCTCAGACTGGATGTCGCTCCATTTCCTCAAGCTTAACCTCTCCAAAACCGAGCTCCTCGTCTTTTCCCCCTGCCCACACCCCCCCCCCCCCCATCCTATCCATCATCACCAACAACACCACTATCATTCCCGCCCCACAAGCCAAAGTCCTTGGCGTCATTCTTGACTCGAACCTCTCCTTCCAACCTCATGTCAAATCACTTACAAACACATGCAGGCTTCAGCTCCAGACACCACTAAAATACTCGTACACTCCCTGATTATCTCACGCCTTGACTACTGCAACTCCCTCCTCACCGGCCTACCCCAGTGGAAGCTCTCCCCGCTTCAGACCATCCTGAACTCAGCGGCTAGACTCATCCACCTCACCAACCGCTCCACCACTGCCAGCCCCCTCTGCCTATCCCTCCACTGGCTCCCTATTGCCCAACGCATCAAATTTAAACTTCTAACCCTGACCTACAAAGCCATTCACAACGCTGCCCCTGACTACCTCACCAACCTGATCCCCAAGTACCGCCCTACCCGTACCCTTCGCTCCTCACAGGACCTCCTTCTATCCTGCTCCCTGGTCTCCTCCTCCCATGCACTACTGCAAGACTTCTCCAGGTCCTCCCCCATCCTCTGGAACTCACTGCCCCAATCCATCAGACTGTTGCCTTCCCTCCTCACTTTCGGGCGCTCCCTCAAAACCCATCTCTTCAGGGAAGCCTATCCCACCCTCACCTAACGGCCTTTCCCCCTCATTCCTCCCACCACTTCATTCCCCTCAGCCACTTCCTACTGTACCACTACCCCCTCCCTCCTAGATTGTAAGCTCGAAAGAGTAGGGCCCTCTTACCCCTCGTACGTTGTTTGTTATTGTTGTACTGTGCCATGTATTGTCCCCCCCTCTATTGTACAGCGCTGAGCAAACCCTTTGGCGCTATATAAACTCGATGTAATAATAATAATAACATATAGCTCTATTGAAATATATTGAATATGGCCCAAATTGTAGCATTTCAAATATATGGCAATATATTTGGGAAGAATATTTTTAAAATATATTTCAAATATATTTTTCTTCCATATGGCCAGGGTTCTTCTCTACAGCATACTGGCATGAAAAAAAGGCTTTTCTTCTCAAACTGTAGCTGCTTTCTAAAGAGAACGAACTGTAAGGCTAGTCATACACATTTAGATTTAAATTTCTCTCAAGGGAAATTTCTCAATTTCCCCAACTACACTACATTACATGGATGGAGGAATCTCCCCGACCCGTTGCTGTATTCAGCCATAGTATCCGCAGCTGTCTGAAAACCGGGACAGTGATTGCAATCGACCGGATGCAGTCACTGTTTGGCCAATAATTTTCAACCTAACCCCTTGGCTTTTTAATCGCAGTTTGGCTAGTTGGGTGGTGCTCTAAATTCTGGCCAATTTTCCCTGAATTCAAGCCCTGTAAGGCCAACTTTCAATTTAGCTGATTTGAAGTGATATCATGATGAATCTTGTTTATTTATTTGTTTTTTATATAACAAACATGTGTATGCATGTGTTCTGCACAGAGCAGCCCGGATCCTTCTCTTCTTGGGTCCCCTGCCGGAGCTCCTGGCCCTCCCTCCTGTTGGGTGCCCCACATAGCAAACAGCTTGCTATGGGGGCACCTGAGCAGGCACATTCTCGAGCCCCAGCCTCCATTCACACACAGAGCCACGGCTTGGCCTTGCTCCTTCCCTCTCCATTTGGCTTACTGACTGTGATTGACAACATCGGGAATGCATGAAAGTACAAAACCTGGAACCTTTAGAACCACTTTAACCACCAAGTCCGGACACTTTCACTTTCTTCCTGTCCAGCCCAATTTTCAGCGCTGTCACACTTTGAATGACAATTGCGCGGTCATGCAACACTGTACCCATATGAATTTTTTAGCATATTTTGAGACAGATAAAACTTTTATTTTGGTGGTATTTATTTACCACTGGGATTTTAATTTTTTTGCTATATAAATGAAAAAAAAAAGTGTTTTTATTATAACATTTTGCAAATAAATAATCTTTCTTCATAAATACTGGCCAAAATGTATTCATCTATCTTTTTAGTAAAAAAAAAAAAAAAAAAAACCAAATTAGTTTGTAACCAAAAATTATAATGTTTCAAAACATTTCTTTACATTTTTATTTTTTTTTTTTATATTATTATTTTTGGTTTTTTTTTAAACATACTGTCACCATAGTGACACTGTGCTACTTGTGGGGGTGATTTTTTTTTTTTACACTGATTGCTTTTACACCCATAAAGGCTGTAAAATTAATAATTTCTCCTTCTTTCTGGCTGCATTCTTGCAGCCATTGAGAACTACTGTGTGAGCTGTGATTGGTCACAGCTTGTCACATGGTACAAGGCTGTTGTGATTAGCCTTGTACCATGTGACCTCTGTGATCATTCACAGATTTCACACGTAGTAAGCAATGATGTCAGGAAGTGACATCTTGCTTACACCTATTCATGTGATCACTGATTGGCACACAGCTGGCACCGGATCACGGTGCTGCACGCTCCCAGGGAGAACGCACAAGCAGGGAAGCGGGGAGGATGTTTATAAACGACCACCCGCCCCTGCACTGCTCCCGTCCGGTCATTTATATACATGGGGCCGGACGGGAAGTGATTAAACATGTCCAGTAAAAATAATTAAAAAATCTAATTTCTTCATAAATTTTGGCCAAAATGTATTCTTCTCTATGTCTTTGCTAAAAAAAAATCCCAATACGTGTAAATTAATTGGTTTACGTGAAAGTTATACATTTACAAATGGAGGTATAGATATTATTTTTATTTTTCTATTAGTGGCGGCGATCAGTGACTTTTAGCGGGACTGCGGCAGGCATTCTGACACTGGGGGGGATTAACTTGGTGTCACTGACATCCCCAGTGACACCAATACAGTGATCAGTGCTAAAAAAAAAGCACTGACACTATACTAATGATACTGGGTAGGAAAGGGTTGATGTGAGGGGCAATCAAAGGGTCAGTTGTGTGCTGGGAGTGTTTTACTAGGGGGGCAAGGGGGGGGGTGTGCTTCACTGTAAGTACACTGATTGGGATGGCTGTACTGTGCACAGCCATCCCGAGCAGTGTGCTTGAGCTGACAGGGAGGAAGATTGTAAACAAAACAAACTTCCTTCCCATCGGAGATGCTCGGTAATCAACAGGAGCCAGCGGGTAATTACCGTCTGGGACCCGGTGATTAATATCATCGGCCACGAATGGTGGCGCAGGTAGGGCACACTCAGCTCACGCAAACCCCCTACCCAAAAATGCAGAATGACATATATGTACGTGATCCTGCCCTGTAGCAGTATATCTGCTATAGGGCAGTCCTAAAGCGGTTAATACAGGTTAGGAAGGATAGGTAGGAGGAGGGGAGAAGGAACATTTTTTAGAATCGATAGTCAGGCTTTTCTTCCACTTTAAGGGTACATGTGGCCTCCTTCTGACCTGCGTTTGACCTGTTTATATTTAGAGGAGACCCCCAAGCCATTTCTAAAAACATTTTGGCATGGGGGTTCCCCTCAAACTCCATACCAGACCTGAAGGGCTTGGTATGGATGGGAGGAGGGACCCCACCCTATTTAAAAAAAAAATAAATAAATTGCCGACAATTCTTTTTACATTCAGCTGTCAGCAGGGAAACCCACTGACAACTAAAACATGAATGAATGTTTCACTACTAAAATACCGCATGACTACATAATATAACTCATGCAGAATTTTAGTAACTGATCGGGATTTTAATACCTACTCAGATGCCCCAAGATGCCGCTCAGTCCTTCGGTTCGTGTTCGCGGTCGGTCGAACATTCTGTAGGTTGGGATGTTTGACCTCTGACTGAACGGGGGGTGTTCGGCCCATCACTACTGGTGACTAACCCTTGGGTTCACACTACTGTGGGTGGAAGCAGCTGTGGGACCCACACTTTGTCCCACAGCTGCAATAAAAAACGGGACCCAGGAGCGGCTGCCATTACTCTCAATCGCATGCTACCCACACTGGAAAGCGCACCGCACTACAATATGGTTCCCAGTGCAGGCTGCTATTTCTGCAAAGGTGTTTTGCGAGGCATAGCAGCCCTTTCAAATAAGTGGGCTGCCATTCCGTGGCCCGCAAATCGACACTAGTGTGAACTGAGGGTAAGCAAGGGCAGTGGTGGGGAACTGAGAACAGGGGATATGGTAGAAAAAAATAAGTTGGGAGCCTGGAGGGTAACAGGCAGGGGTGGACTGACAACTCATGGGGCCCCCGGGCAATAGGGGATCATGGGACCCCTGTGTCCTTGCCTAAACACAAAAAAGCCTATGAAAAAGGTACCAGGGACATCTCATGGGGCCCCCTACTGACCCCGGGCCCTCGGGCAGTGCCCGAGTTTCCAAATGGTCAGTCTGCCCCTGGTAACAGGGATAGGTTGGGTTGGTGATTATCTGGCAGATTTACTTTAGTTCATCAATATCACAATTATTACACATACAAGTAACAATGCTTACAGTTTGAATTTGCTGTAGATGTATTCCGTTGCTCTAAAAACTTGTGTATCAGTAAGAGGAGTGACAGTCACGATGAAACTCCATAGGCACAGCAATGTCAAGATGGCACGTCCCATTTTAACCTGCAATTAAGAGATATTTGCTGAAGGTAAATGTGTGAATATATATATATATATATGTTATACTTACCTGCTCTATGCAATGGTTTTGCACTGAGCAACCCTTATCCTCTTCTTTTTGAGTTCCCCATTGGTGGCCTTGGCTCCTGCCCGCAACCAAGCCTCTTGCTCTGGGGGCATGCTCCCAAGACATTGTCCATTCACTCACAGAGCATGGCTCAGCCTCACCTTCACTCTCTCCTCATTGGCTCCCTGGCTGTGATTGAAATCAATAGGACCAACTGGCTCCTGTTGCTGTGTGAGCCAATGAGGAAAGAGAGAGCCAAGAGAGCCATGGCTCTCATGCACATCTCTGGATAAAGTTGGGGGAGGCTGAGAAGGTAGCTGCACCCAGAATGTTTTTTACTTTCATGCATAGAATGCATTAACCACTTCAATACTGGGAACTTTCACCCTCTTCCTGCCCAGGCCAATTTTTAGCTTCAGAGCTGTTGCACTTTGAATGACAATGGCGCAGTCATGCAACACTGTATAAACTGAATAAATCGGTATCCAAATATTATAATTTTTTTTTTAAATTATACAAATAAATGTGCAAAACTTATAAATATAAGTAAAAATATGAAAAATTGTAAAAAATTATGAAAAATGAATACCCTTCCCTTTAACTCTTAAAAGTCACACTTTCACCCCTGAAAGCCCAAAATTTAAATCATAAATCCTTTTTAGTGTCAATCAGACCCTTCCAGCAATCTTCGAAGTGATATTCCAAAAATGAAATCCAACATCGCAGTGAACCTCAAAAAAACAAAAGCTGAAATAGTGTATTATCCTCAGTGTAATGCAGGCCATAGATGGGTCGAAAATTGGCCGATTTTTTCGGCCGAAAATAAAATCGGCCGATTTTCGGATCGTTAGTGGGTTAATAGGTCGGCCGTTTTTCGGTATTTTGGCAGATTTTTTTTATCGGTAAAGTTGGAAAAAGATCGATCTTTTTCCTGATAAAAAATCTGCGTATGAGCAGTGACTTGCAAGAGGAAGACAAAAAGAAGAAGAAGAGGATGAAGAAGATGAAGAAGAAGAAGAGGATGAAGAAGAAGAAGAGGATGAAGAAGAAGAAGAGGATGAAGAAGAAGAGGATGAGGAAGAAGAGGATGAAGAAGAATTCCAGTCCGGCAAAAAGTGTCCCTGCAGAGAGCTCCGCTATTTCTTTGACATTTATAGCGGCTGCAACATTGTATCTGTTTCCGAATAAAAACATCTGTATCCGAAATGGATACAAATAGATACAATGTTGCAGCCTCTATAAATGTCAAAGAACTGTCAAAGAAATAGCAGAGCTCTCTGCAGAGACACTTTTTGCCGGCTGTGGACGGGATGAAAATCGTTAGATTTTTTTTTTACCGTTCCTGGTAACGTCGGCCCGATTGAACGACCGATTTTTTGTTTTTTAAAGAAAAATCGGCCGGTTTTCTCCCCCATCTATGGCCTGCATTACAATATATACATATGTGAAAATATTGCGAAAAGTAATATAATAAAAAAAAAAATAATAAATAGTAATATAATAAAATAATATAATAAAATAATAATAGTAATATAATAAAAAATAATATATATAAAAGTAATATATAATATAAACACTGCGTGAGAACACATGATTATAGTGCAGAACTCCGTGTACACTTCAACAAAAACATTACTCCGTGAAAATCCCGTGAACACTTCTATGTGGCTAGAGTGAATACTCTTACCATCAACATGTGATCAAAAAGCCTTATTCAATTGTCACCACTCCTTCATTACATCCTCCAACGTTATGTCAAATGCCAGATTAGATATATATATCATCCCCCAGCCAATCACAGGTACACACCCATGGAAGAGAGAATAACTATATAGTGTAATATGTCACATAAGTATATCCAGACTTTTATTGGTTGTGCTTACATGTATATAATGGAAAAACCACTATTTCATTTTTGGAATATCACTTTGAAGATTGTTGGAAGGGTCTGATTGACACTAAAAAGGATTTATGATTTAAACATGCAACACTGTACCATACAACAAAGATTATGACGGCCATATACAGATTCTGGGAAACCAGCGTCTGATACAGGGGCGGACTGACCATTTGGAAACTCGGGTACTGCCCGAGGGCCCAGGGTCAGTAGGGGGCCCCATGAGATGCCCCTGGTACCTTTTTCATAGGCTTTTTTGAGTTTGGGCAAGGACACAGGGGCCCCATGATCCCCTATTGCCCGGGGGCCCCATGAGTCGTCAGTCCGCCCCTGGTCTGATATACATAAGCAGTGTCAAAATGGTTAACTGACCAAAAGACACAAAAGGACATTGCGCAGGATTGTGACCCTGAAGAACAAAACAACTGCTGCAAAAGTGACTGCAGAGCTCAATCTCAGTTTTTTTTTTTTTTTTAAACAGCATGGGCCTCTTGCCTTCAAGAATTATATCAAAACCCTTTGGGCCTCCCACCAACAGAAGTGTCTTTGGGGTATCATTATCCCTTGTTTCCACCCCCTACCTACCTCTGAGCACCATTCCTTGGTTCCACCCCCTACCCACCTTCGAACACTATTCCTTGTTCCCACCCCCCCCCCCCCCCACCCACCTCTGAGCATCATTCCCTGGTTCCACCCCCTACTCAACTCCAAACACTATCCTTTGTTTCCTCCCCCTAACCACCTCTGAGCACCATGCCTTGGTTCCACCCCCTACCTACCTCTGAACACCATTCCTGGGTTCCACCTCCTACCCACCTCTGAACACCATTCCTTGTTTCCACTCCCTACCCACCTCAGAGCACCATTACTTGTTTCCTCCCCCTACCCACCTCCGAGCATCATTCCCTGGTTCCACCCCCTAGCCAACCCCAAGCACCATTCCTTGGTCCCACCCCCTACCCACCTCCAAACATTATCCCTTGTTTCCACCCCCTACCTACCTCTGACCACCATTCCTTGGTTCCACCCACTACCCACCTCCAAGCACCATTCCTTGGTTACACCGCTACCCACCTCCGAACACTATCTTTTGTTTCTACCCCCTACCCACCTCTGAGCACCATTACTTGTTTCCACCCCCTACCCACCTCCGAGCACCATTCCTTGTTTCCACCCCCTACCCACCTCCGAGCACCATTCCTTGGTTCCACCCCCTACCCACCTCCCAGTACCACTCCTTTTAGAGAAAACAGAACCAAGTATCATTTTGTGGTGTTAAGTAATTTGTATGGAATTTGTTAATGATGACAAAAAAATGCAGTAAAATAGATCTCCTGCAGTAAGCAACAATAGCCCCCCCCTTTCTGTGACAAAAGATCCCCCCAACAACAATGGGTCATCTGAAACAAAATACCTCCCAGCAATAATAGACCCCCAGCAGCAACAACAGATCTCCCCACAGCCAGCATCATTAGACCCCTCAGCAGCCAGCAACAGTAGACCCCACCCTCAACAGTAGACCCCTCCCAGTAACAGTAGCCCCCCTCGTCAATATAATACAAATCCCCAGCAATGATAGATTCCTCCATCAGCAACAACAGACCTACCCAGAAACAATAGACTTCTCTTCAAAAATAGATTAACTCCAGCAACAATAGATCCCCCAGCAGCCAGCATCAATAGACCCTTCAGCACACCACAGGACTCCTTGCCATTTCATATATTAATGATGGAGGTGCGTTCCCCCACACTCCCGCTGGAAAAAAATCCCTGCATCTACTTTAATTCAGATTGACTTTACTGTGCATTCTCTGCACATTTTAACCATCAACAGCAAATATGCAACAAGGTAGAATGGAACATGCAAACAACATGTGTTTGATATTAAGGCTCCATGTACATGAGCCTTACCATGACTGCTGGCTGCGGGAAAACGCAAATCACGGCAAAACCGTGGCAACTGCGGTACCTCGTTTTGCGTTTTTCCACGGTCAGTGGTCAAAATGTTCCTATCCTGAATGTGATTCTTCCGCGTTCAGGAGAGGGAGGTTTACCCTCACCTAAACATGGCAGCTCCTAAACTCTGCTAAAAGCCGATGTGTACATGTGGAGTTGAGTTTAGGAGTTCTGGCAAAAACATGCCAAAAGCTCCTAAACTCGAGTTTAGGAGCTGCTCGTGTACATGAGCCCTTATTTTACACAACCCCCCCTATCCCACTCATCAAAATATTTTTAGTACTCAATGCAGATACTCCTTATAGCAAGTGGGATGGGTAAAGCGAGCGCTCATAAAATCAGCTGCTGGAACACTCCAAGGAATCACTGGACCTCATAGCATAAATAATAAATAATATAGTGCAGTGCTGTAATACTGATGTACAAATCCAAATAGGTAAATAAAGCAGGGTAAATGAAAGTTCATAAAGTTCTTTATACAGTATAAACGGTTGCAAGCAAGAGTGCTGTGAAGACCTCCTCAGCATTAGTTAAGTGACTGGAACCATATAGAAAAAATGCGCACACTCACCGACCGCGCATTAAAAATGCGCATGTATGCAGTTATTTATCCAGGTGACCGGCCAGACATATGGATCAGCCAAACGCATGTATCATCCCCTCTCAGGTAGAACATCATGTATATTTGTTTATATATATTTTTATCTTTGAATCTGTCCGCTTGAATTATATATATTTGTATATGCACAAAACCCTGGTTAGTATGTTACTTTTGATCAAATAAATCAGCCTGAACCTACTACACTATCGGCATTCCCTCTCTGTTTTTGACCCTCTTTTTGGAGGGTTCCAGATCCACAGCAGCCAATCCCAAGGGCATCCACAGCAGCCAATCCCTAGGGCATCCACAGCAGCCAATCCCTAGGGCACCTTGCAACCAGGAGAGGGAGCTCATCCTACCTTTACACACTGGGCAAGAAGGCTCTCAGGACCTAGTAGCATATCACTGTACCCAAGGCTGATGTTCTACCTGAGATGGATGATACATGCGTTTGGCTGATCCATATGTCTGGCCGGTCACCTGGATAAATAACTGCATACATGC